TACCTCAAAATGTTTGCAGTCTGACAGCAGGCTTCTCTGATTTAGCATCTTTGTTATCTGCTGCTAAACAGTCCTCCTTGCTCAAGGTTACTACCCTGTGAGGAGAGGTACACATAAATTTTGTACAAGCTTCTCAGCCATCACAGTTCGTGCTTGGGCATTGAGGTTTTTATTGATGCTGTTAAATCCAGTAAAACCTCTCGGCTAGATCCTGCCACGTACATGCTATTCTGACAGTAAGTGATGGAAGAATGCGGGACTGGGGATAAAAGAGGTTTGGGACATAATGCAGGTCATTCAGGTTTCGTAGGTGCATGTTGCATGATTCAACAACATTAAAGTTGCCAGAAATAGTATTTTATTTTGTTCACTTATGTATCTTTTCCTCATTACTTTCCAAAATGTCACCAAAATAAAATTCTTACCTGCTCTTCCACAAAAGGTTAGGGATAGAGTTTCCCTTCACATCTTGATGATTTTCAGTTTTTAATGAGTTCTTTTTGAGGTTTTCCTTAAAAGTGTCTCCTTTTTCCAGTTAAACGTGTTAACTTCCATATACTGTGCTTACTGGACCTTACTGTGCTTGTAATGCCCTTCTGCAAAAGGTAGTCCAGCGCTCTAGCATAAGCAGATAATCTGGTATCAGATGGCAGGAAGAACAAAATATGTTGTTGCATGTGTGTTGAATGTCGTGCTTCTGGGACTAAGACCATCTGATTGCTCCAAGATCCCTGTGTTTCCTTCTTTCTAATGTAGAAGTCCCAACATGAGATGTGAACAGGAAACTTCCCAAATCCACTTGAACAGAGAAGCAACGTAGCAGGAATGCGTTGTGCTTTAAAAAACGCTTTCCAGATTCCTAATCCCTCCTGTGTCTATGGTTCTCCATAGCTCTGTTAAGGAGGACAGGATTCATAGCTCACCGTTAAATCTGTTCCTCACACTGGCAGCTCTACTGTATATATCCAGTTCAGACAGGTTCACAAAGCCCCTGTCCTGTGTGCCACTGTCCACCACAGGTCAAACAGCACTTTGTGTGTTAAATCTTGAGGCCTGTTGAAAAGGCAATGACTGCATATGCCACAGGATTGTAAATTATGATTGTATTAAAATACCCACTTCAGTGAACCTTTTTACCTAAACAAAAGAAACCTTCAGATAAATGTGAATACCTCTTTCTAATTTTCATTCTAGACCTCTGTTTTGTCTTACAACAATGTATCTCTCTTAATTGTGTGCAAACAAATGAATTGCAACTCACTTTTGATCTGTTCAACAGCTAACCTTTTTCAGTTAACTCTCCCTTGAAGCTTTACTTCTTTTATAAGGCCCACAAGATGTAAATCAACAACAATGTTACTATTCAAGGCACAATGTCATTTCAGTGTTTCCCAAGTACTCAGTTTTGTTTTGAACAAAATTAGTGGAGCAGGGACTATCTCTTCAGTAACACAAAGCTTATTATTAAAATTTCAGTAACAATTGCTAATTCTAAATGGTAGTTCATACACTACCAAGAAGTAATTGGAGAAATAATATTTAATTTTTTCATTGGTGGAGTGCACTGTGTGATAATTGCACTGTATTTCACTTTCTTCTGCTGTAGAAGAACCATGCCTTGCTAGGCAGGATTCTCTACAGTGCAGAAGGGCTGAACTTATATTGAAGTTGTTATAAAGTGTTTAGAAGCATGTGGAAAGATCACAAGATCAGGCAGGTCTGGAACCTTGATGCCATTATTAAAAAACATTCATCATGGGTGTTCTGGTTCTAAGGAAGTTGTTAGGCACAAATAATTCAAGGGAATCTCATCAAAACCTTATCAAAGACTGTATATTGGTAATATGGTCATTATGGAGGCAAAGACTGTTTAATATACTCCAGGGGCAGAAATAGGTCTAAGGAAGAGCAACAACTGCTAATGAAGTTACAGAATTAAAACAGAGCAAAAGAAAATAGTATAATAAAAAATAAACAAACAAAACCCCAGGAACTTGAAATTCTGTGGCAGAAGAGCACTATAAACTATATATGAATACTACAGTTGATATTAATTCCTTGTGGTTGAAAGGATGTAAACTTGCAACAAGTAATAAAATAGCCAAATGCATATGTTCATCTTTACGATGAGTGAGTGTGGAATATTTCTAAATCATGTTTCTTTTTAGGTGACTAAAGCAGTCTATTTCTGTAGCATCTGCAATTCACAACAAGGAAATAAAAATAGAAATAAAATTGCTAGGAAAAAAATCTGTCAGTTTTTGCCATCAGTAGAGATGTAATGACTTAGATCTTCCTTATCACAATCAAATCTTATCTTAGATTAGGGACTGTATGAATTGTTTTCATCACCTGATACAAATATGACGATTATTTCGTAGTCAATATTGTCTAAATTTTTGAAAACAAAATTTGTGCTTATTTTTGTAGCAGAGCGCAGTTCTGTCATGTTAGGGGAGTCAACTGGCTGTAACTATTGTCTGCAGCATAAATGCTAACTTCACCCCGGAGGAATGGAGCTGCTGCCAGTAAATAGCAGTAATTCCCTCCCTCGCTGATAGAAGAGCTATTGAAGACTATTCTCTACCAAGTTGAGCAAAGCTGCTGTTAGCACTACTTCCGAACTTCACAGCCTCCTTCGAGTCACTTCTGTGATCTGCAGTTTGAGTTGTACAGTTCCAGAGGATGGATTTCCACACACTGCCACGTGAACAAATGGCCCATGTTTAGTTCAGTTCCCTTTAGTTTTTGTCAATTTATGTTGAAAGTCATTTTCTGCTAAGATTTGAATTTTGCTCTCAGCTGTTTGTTTACTACAATGTTAACGTATTAAAGAAAAACTTCAGACTGTTTAATGATCAAAAAGTACTACAGGCTCCTCTTCCTATTCTGGCAAGCATAGAAAGTTGTATAAAAAATATTTAATACATCTTTTAAACATTTCTGTTTATATATACAGTAATCTTTCTCCAGAGGTAACTAGCTGTGTTTATCCTGCAGGAGAAGGTTAAACAAACTGCAAATCCAAACAATATACTCCTTGAGTCATGTCTCTAGCAAAGTTATATACTGAGAATTACGTTGGCATGTGGGGGAGCTGTTGGGTGGTTTTTTTTTTTTTCTCAAAAGGGGGACATTCCTGTACTTAGTTTTCCAGAATGAGTTGAGGTTTTATTGTATTTCTTGGAAAAAGCATTTGTACCCTATTGGAATACTAGCCTATATAAGTTTTACTTGATATTCTAAATTTGAAGTGGAACAGACAGAAGTGGAGCCAAAAAGAGTCTCCATCTACTTGACAGAGAAATCATCAGCATCTACAGAATACAGATGTGAAGTAGCAGCATAAATGCATGTGTAGGATCTACTAACACTAGGTATCAGCCTTTGCTGGGTGTCATTCAGTAACAGTAATCTATAAAATGATGGCATCGTTTTTTAAATGATCAAATTTCATTTGATCTCAAGATGTAATGATGCCACTCTGTGTATTTTTGCATAACTAGTTATGTTTTTGAAGATGGTAGCTTGTCATCTTTTACAATGTACTATGTTCTGAAATTCCTACAAGTATTAAAGCACCTGGTTTTTCATTTAAGACATGAGATGCTACTTCTATTGCTTTCGTGTAAAATGTTATGTCAGTTGCCCCTAAACCTGAATTTACTTTGAATCTGAAGTAAGAACTGTCTAAATGCAACTTAAGTAAATTTTTTGGTGCATTGGGATTAGCAGTACTACTAAGAAGACTTTAGTACCTGAATAGCTTTGGGAATAGAAATATACTCCATGTGCAGCACTGTGAACCCACGAAGAACAGGAATGATAAAATATTTGGGGTTTGTGTTGAAAAGTGAAGTCCGAATGTGATGCAAGCATTTATTTCTTATGTATATCCCTCAATAAACGTGTTACCTTAGGCACATTCATTGCCTTAGAAAAATTTAAAAATGGCAAACAAACAAAATATTTGCTGCTGTTGCTTCAAAGAGCATCTTGTTGTTAGTATCTTTACTCTTCACCATGATATGTTACAAACGCTTTTATTATTTGGTTGTAAGAGACTTATTTCTGCCATTTTATTCTAAAAGGCGTCTTATGCTCATAGTATATATTCTGTATTTGTTTTAAAAAGTGTATGATTTATGATCAATAGGATTACCGTGCATACTTAGTTATGATTTAGAAATCTTATGTATGCATTAATTGAAATAGATAAAAATCTTCATAAGTATGTCTTAACATTCAAAAAAACTAAATGCAAGCGGATTCAAAAGCGTATAAAAATAATATATAAAAAATTCTATGTAACAACAATAAAAAAAACTTGATGGTGATCATATTAGATACATTTCTTGGCCAGCAAAATTTGAAAATAAAACTGCAAAAATTATACTTGAAAAATTCTTGAATAAATGATTGCTACTTGCAATGTAAAGCTTAAGGGTAAACTTTTATTGTGGAGATTCAGTTGCTCTGCTCTGTTAATACTAATGAGTTGTGTAGTTTAATTTGCGCCTTAGAGCACTACAGATTAATGAAAAAATACTCCGGTTGATGTGTACTACATTTTAGGAATTTCAGACTACCCAGATTCATACTGCCCACACATTTTCAGCCTGCTGCACAGTGATCTAGTTGGATGTTAGTATTATGAGAGAAACTATGAAACAATGAAAGGTTTCATGGAGGTTATGTTGTGTTTAACAACGGTAGCAATCCTTTAGGTAGATTATTCTTCTAATTGAGGTATAAATGTGGGACTTCAGTGAATACGCTTATGCAATGGTAAACCTTGTACTGATCCCCTGAGAAACTATTTTTCTTAGTGCCTTAACTGAGGAAAAAAACAGCTAATAAAGAATTGGGTAATAACAGAGAAGTAACAACATAACACTAATAAAAATACTATATAAGACATTGAGACAATAAAGTACTTTGCCTGAAGAAAGCTTAGATGTATGACATGCATATTAATGCTTCCTTATTTTCTTTTGAAGGATCGACGTTTTAATGATGAGATTGACAAACTGACTGGATACAAGACAAAGTCACTCTTGTGCATGCCTATAAGAAACAGTGATGGAGAGATTATTGGTGTTGCCCAAGCAATAAATAAGACTCCCGGAGGTGCCCCTTTTTCTGATGATGATGAAAAAGTAAGATTACCTTTACTTCTGTATTTTTTTAAAATTCCTTTTGTAACTCACTAGACTCTTCTAAAGATACTCAATTCCAAACAAGTTTATGGTACAGCTCTTGTGTTAATGATGCTTTTTTAGAAGTGCTTAACATAAACTGTACATTTTTGTTGTTCTTAACATAAAGCATGTATCTGCTCTGTAATGTGGGAGGCCTTGTGGCTGCAACTTCAACTTAATGGTCTCTAAATCTTATATAGACTTTTTTCATATAGTAGATCTTGGTAGGAGGACTTTTTTATTTTTGAAAACTTATCTGTAAGAATAAGTTCATGGGGGAAAATTATCACAGAGACACTCCTAGCCTTGCTACCTTGAAAAACAACCACATTGTCAGTGATATAAATGCATGTAGCATATGCAAAAGAAACTTTATTTTAGAGGAGATAATGGATATACAACTTTGTTATTCTAAAATATAGCAGACTTGAAATGCGCGTGAAAAGGCAAAGAGGGCAGGAGAGGCACTAGGTGCGTATATGAAGTGAAATTTGGAGAGTAAAGTGAACTCCAAAGGCATGAGAATTAAGGGAGCCACAAGGAGGGAACTTGAATTTTAAAAAGTGAGGAAAATAGGATGGTGCTGTTGAAGGCAGATGGCTACTGCTGAGTGTGGAGACAAAACGTGCGTAAGGCCAAAAGATGACTGGGGAAAAGAATGGTAGAGGGCAGCAAGCTGGGGAGGAACAGAACAGCACCTCTCTCTGCCCAGGAGAGAGAAACAGTCTCCTTCAGGCATATAATAGGAAAATATACTTCTGTGTATTAAAATAGTTTTGAATCTCACTTTTGTGGAACTGTTGTTAGAGGCAGACTTTGCCCCCAAAAGCTCTTTATGTTGATTCAGAAGCAGTTAATATTTGATGCAGAGCCATTGTTGGTGTATTACGTACATGTTGATGTGTGTGTGCTATGACAAAAAGATTTTAAGTAATGCCTGCTGGAAGGGGAAAATCCTGTCTCATTGGTTCATCTAAATATATGGAGGTGATTTTTAAAATCAAGATAGCTTGATATAGATGAAATGCATTTTTATAAATGCTGAACTAACAGTGGCTTATAAAGGCTATGAAGTATTGAATAAATCAAACTCATCTTCCAGAGAAATCATAGTAATTGTATTTTTGAGTACTTCTTGAAGTCTCTATTAAATTATTATTTTTACTTGTTATATAATAGTTCTAGTATATCTACATTTAGACCATTGTGCATAACCATTTCATAGTTTGAAGCAACTGGTAAGAATAAGAATATAAGTCTTTATATTAATAACGTCTATTAGTAGCATCATACTCTGGTTTGTTGTACAGTGGAAGTAATTAAAAATTGATTGCTTTTTTGCAACTTCAGTATGTGAAGGAATCTTTTGCAGTCCAGGTGGGAAAATCTTTACGAAGTGGAAATACTAGTTAATGGGTGCATTATTAAGGTTGAGAGAGCGTAAAAAGGAGTACTGATTATTTTTACACCTTGTATTAGCTACCAAATGTCTTCCAATAGGAAGTTATGATGAAATATTTCTTTATATTTTTATTAGATTATTTAGCATAGCACAACTCTGCAGCAGTTTGGAGGTCTTTGGAGGTCTTCCAGCAGTTATTCTTAGCAACACCTACTTACACGTGAAGAGCCAGCTTGCTTGCTGTGTACCACTTCACTTTTGGTACTTTTCCTAAATCTGTTCCAATGAGATATTCATATCTGATGTGCGTTTGAGCTGCTTGTTAACTTCTTTTTAAGCTTCAAGCTTCAGACTCTCATTAAGACCTAGCCATTTGGGTCGATCTTGAAATACTAGACTTGTTTGGATTATAATTTTCTTTAATGAACAAATAAAAGGAGTGGAGGCTAGATTAGGCTAACAGTAGGAAAGCTTATGGTTTGACAGACTAGCAATACAGACAGCTCAGCTGCCCAGTTATATATGATACCGTAGAGTTAGCTTTTAAAGAACTAACTGTGTTACTCTTAACACCAACACTATTAGTAATTTTGTAAAACTGAAAAATTAATTACAAGAACAGCACCCATTGCAGTGTATCTGGCATCATCTCTTGGTAGGTGCTTTCTTTTAAACACAGTGTTGAGTAACAAGGAAGAAAGTCAGTCCTATCTCTGGCAGTATCGCCTATTCTAGTACCACATTTAAGACAACTTTTCTGTGAGAAGCTTATAAAAACTTTTTTCCGTAAAAATAATTAGCTTTAAATTTCTGTTTCTGCAAGGTGCCTGTGTAACTTGTTCTGCATAGTGATTTACTTCGAACTAAATTACTTTAAAAATAACTTTCAATTTTCAGATGCTGCTTTTTCAGACATCTGAAGTTACCCAGTACTTCTTGAATTGCTTCTTTATAAATTATCTGAACTTGTGTAGCCATTAGTTTGCTTCTGAAGTACTTTTGATTCTTGAAAATCTTGGCTGTCGAGTATTGATTTATTAGCATACAATACAAATCTAGCAGTGTATGCTACAATGGGTAGGCAAATGCAAATAAAACAAAATGAGACCTTTCCTAAATAGACTTTTTTCTGTGTTTCTTTTTATTAGTACTTTCTCAGTCTGTGTAAAGGGAATTTTGTTTAAAATGCAGCCTTTATCATGGATACTAGATTTGACTATCATACATTCAGCTAACAAAATAACTGTGTACATGTGAGTTGTGTGTTGCATAAACATATTAATGTAAATATTTTATGCCAATACTGAGGCTGTGGCATTTGCTCCATTTAGTGATTGCTAAATGTTACCAAAAATCAGCAAGTTGCTATCTTTACATTATTTTTACTAGTCATTTATATCAGTTATAATTATAAGCCTGTATGTTAGAACTCTTCAAGAGTATATTAAGTGGGTTATCACGTGTAGAGTTTATGAAAAAATTAATGAGTACATAACCATTATCATGCCTTCTAATAGATCTTAGAATTAATGAGGTCTATCAATCTGTGTACTGTTATTTCCAAATCTGTGCTTTCAAGTTTCTTCACCCACTGATAACCTCCAAAGCACGATATACATCTGGGAAGCAAGGAAGTGCACACTTCCAAGAGAACACCTGGCAATACTAGCATACAATTTCTTGTTGAAATATCAGCAAAAGTGGTTGTGAGGAAAGGGGGCAAGCAAAAACTGGGAAATCCTTTTCAAAATAAGAAAAGATTTACTTGGGTATCGAGGTGGTTTGTGCAGAAAAGCCTGATGAGTAGCTGGCAGAAGACTTACATTCAGCTTTATGTTGATGTTACAATTTCTGTCAATTAACAGCTTCAGAATGGTTAGGAAATGAAAATGTAAACTACTCCTTCTTTTCCTCTCCTCAGACAGGCCCTCTCAAAGAAATTATAGTATCATTTCAGTCTGACTCTTGTTTGCAAGTATACATCCTCTCTTAGTATTCTGTGAAGCAACTTAAATAATCTGTTGGGCTTTGTGGGTTTTTTAAAAAGCTACAAGACTATATTGTGAAATGAAATGTCACTTGGGGGCACTACTGTCTTGAGTCAATAGGAAACAAAGAATTATGTTTTCAATTAGAATTAAGTAGATGCTAGCATCATTTTTATGTACTCTTAGTTATTTTCAGGAAGTTAAGAGCAAATAAAATATTTAAGATTTGAGGAGTTTTTAATGCTCCCAAGCTGTAACCAAGTTTATATTTTGCAATATGTAAAATGGAGTATTAGGTTTCGAAGTTTCTCTAGTTTTGTTTTTCATGGCATATTTTCAGGTTTTTCTTTTACGTATCTGACCATGATGATAATAACACAGCATTAATAATGAGTCTAAGTGACTTTTCCACATGTAATGCTTGGTTCCCACTGCCAAATTTCTCCTTTTGGTGTAAGGATGTTTAGCCAATTCATTGTTTAAGTGCAGAACTAGACTTTACAGTCACTGGTGTGAGAGAAAATGTTCTGTCTCACGTTGTGTTTTGTCTCCCCCAACATCAGTGGCTCAGTTGAACAGACTGATTTTAGATATTTCCACTTGGATACAAACAATACTTTATTATTTTGTATAGCAGCCATCACTATTACATTGTGTAATTGGTAACTTTTTGGAAAAATAGGCTGGTGGTATGCTTTTACATGTATTTTGCAAGTGAAGACACCAGTTCATCTGCATGGATACAGAGTAGGAAGATTAAAAAACCAAACCCTTGAAAAGAACTGTGTACCCTGCATGCATTCCCAGTGCTGTCCTGAAGATTCATTTAAGTATTTGTGCTGTTTGCTGGTGAGTCATACTTGTTCCAGGACTGGTGAGAAACTCAGCCTAACAAGAACTTGACAGTCTGTAGTTTAGATTATTGTATGCCCTTTTGAGTCTTCTGAGATATGGTGCCAAAACAAATCTAATCCTCCATCAGAGAGGCTCGACAAACAGCAGCAGCTCCACTGTCACTTAAACTGGTGTCCTGGTTCTCTCTGGCTCTGATGTCCTCCTAGCCTTATAGAAGTGAACTGACTGTGGAAAAACTACCCAGGACAGCCAGCTTGAATTAAATCCTGCTTGACTTACTGAAAAGCAGTAATTTGAAAGCGGTGAGATCCCTTCTTTGGGAGGGGGGAAGAAAAACTGGATTTGGTTGTCTGTGCTCTGTGGATAGTTTTATTAAGAAATATATATCTCTAGATTCCAGGATTCAGTTGGTGTATATCTGGTTTGTGGAGGCTTGAAGATATTGTTCTTTCATGCACCAACACTTCTATTTCTTACGTTCCTAATAGCAGTTCTGTGATTCTAAATTGCCCAATTTAATGTGTGTTTCTTGGTCCATATTAGTTAAGGCTTAAATATATTCTATACTGGGTCCACCATAGTGATGAATGATTTGCAGGGATTTTGCTACGCCTGCTAATTTGTTTCCTATGAGTTTTTGTGTGATGGGCTTAGTCATGCTGGTAGGTAGCAATTTCAAAGTCAGGACAGTTTCTTTATCTTAGGGAAGTAAT